AAAAAAATGAAAAGGAATTAGCAAGCATGTGCTGATACTCATTAGTAACAGTCATATTTGTGAGCAATCTTAGTCCAGCCAGCTGCACAGATGAGTTCAAGCGAGAAGTGATCCTGTCATCACACACTTGGTTCATGTACATCTTAAGCCTGCGCTGATTTTCAGCATTTACACTCAAGTTATTCAGAACAATTAAAGCCTTTTCCTTAACTATGGGATCCCGAGAAGTGAGAATCTTTGCAACAACTGGGAGACCACCCAGATCACGAATAGTATCTCTGTTTAATGCATAAGCAGCATTGTTACCCAGAGCAATTAAAGCTGCTTCAAGAATATAAGGCTTTTCAGACATCTCAACTAAGCAAAGAACTTTCTGTAGCTCCTGAGGGGACAAAACAGTGTCATCTGAATTGGGAGAAGCCCGTTTCTGAACAGCCCGGCGCGCTCTAGTAGCCCTGGCCCTTGCCCTGGCCCTTGCCCTGGTCCCAGCCTCAGTCCCAATCCTGGCCCAAGGTGGATACCAAACTATACTCTTGCTTTCATTGCTGTCCTCATCATCGTCAGATCAGTCATTGTACCTGGCCCCAGAACAGTCCCCAGCATCATCCACATCCCCAGAATCACCCTCAGCCATTTTCTCCTTTTTCTGTTTTCTCCCCCGGGTCAGTCTGTAAATGCAATAGCAGGCGCCAGCCCCAATCACCAAGCCTGCAGTCACCCAGCCTACTTTCCTGGCGTAGCCCATGCAATCGTCCCTGACAACAGCAGGGACCAAGGAATATAGTCGTCACTCAGGCTGTGGGAGAAGAGCTGTGAGTCTTCTTGCAGGCCTGTGGAGGGTGATCTTCAGCGACTTCAAGGCCAGGACAGCTGATTCTGGATGTAGACCTGTGAGTGGAGAAAGGATACAGCGTTTGCGTTTTTCTCCCCTTTTGTATTGCTCCATTCAGGGAGTTGCACAGAGGGACCGGAGAGTAGCAGGTGAATGCCAGGTAGTAAATGTAGATTGTTGACAGGTGTGTATCCTCCTCATTGCACACTTTCTCTACCCTCCCCCAGTCACCTCCACCTAAGCCTAGATAAAGGCAATGAAGTCCATAGACGATGCTGTGGCCTCAGTCACAGTCAACAATCTCAGTTGTTCCGAGGAAGTAATAGACTTGCAGTCCTCCTTAAGACAGGCAGTTTGCCCCTTCTCCCCTCCCCTGAAGGCGTGCCACGCCCAACAACCTTTCTGATCAGCAAAGAGACCAGAGCCAGTGAGAACTGAGGGTTTCGCGGTTCAACTGTTCATTTGTTGCTTTCCTGATTCACCATCCAAGTTGTCAGGTTGTTTTTAACCTCTCTATGCCACCCAAAGCATGTATACATATGCCTGCTTCTCCCTAGCCTAAAATGGGAGGGATGTAAGGAAAATAAAATAGAATTGGATGAGCCCGTCCAAACTGCAGCCAACTGATTCCAAACCCCTCCCCCATTCCAGGCAGCCCCCACTCCCATACCGACCTCTACTGATCCGAGGAAACTTCCTCCCTCACTTCAAGCGGCACCACCTGCTACAGCAGACCTGCTGGATGACAGATCGAAAACATGGGGACTAAGTGCTGTTGAGAGGAGGATTATGAACAAACTCCCTGATAGGCTTCCCTGCTGCCATTCCCCCTACCCCCACCCCCCACCCCTAACACACACACGCACTGCACTGCACGCCATTTCGCCACAGCCTGGGGAGTGAGAGAAACACATTCAGACTCAAACCTGAAATAAATTATTGCCATTTCTCGTTTCTTCCCACCCTCACTCCCGCCCCTCCTAGGGTCCCAGATGGTCTTACCCACAAATGGACCTTCACAATGGGGGTAATTTCCTTCCTCTTCTATGCCTGGTGTAGTGCCGCAACCTATGGAAAGACTGGCCGCCCGGGAGAGGCTCAGACCCGCTAGACACACAGCCTTGGTCAGGAAGACACAGCCACAGGCAGAAAGACGGAAAACAGTCGCTACTGAGTGCTTGGTGGACGGACTAGTGTCCAGAACACGAAAACTCTTTCCTAATTCGGAGGCCTGATTGTCAAAGGTTTTCTATCCCTACTGCCCCTCTTGCGGGTCTAGCTGATACATCATGTTGCACCTTGACACTCCCGCCCCCCTGTCCAGCCTTTCCCCACTGGCACTGTCCTGGTAGACTGGGGGCCAACATCCAGGCCACCCGTCCCTTTCCGGATTGGGGCCTCAGCTGCCAGCAGATTCCCATCTCCCGATCTCTGAGCTCCTCCCTAGGCACCCCCCTGCTCACCGTTTTGCAGCATTGACATGGGCTGCAGGCTGGACAGATGCCTTGGAAAGCGGGCGGAGAGTGGGAAAGACGACGGAGGCGCCTCAGGACCTGCGACGGTCTCCGCCCCATGCTCTTGCGACGGTCTCCGCCCAATGCTCTCGGCCACCCCCACTTTATGGAATCTCCCCGGCACTGACCTGCAGGGATCCGGGACAATTTCCTTCTCTTTCTTCCCTCTGCCGCAGGCCTGCCCGCCCTCAGGGCAATGGGGAGCTGGTACTCAGACGGGAACAACGACCAGGACAAGAAGGACTTCTGCACACGTCAGCTCTTGGTCACGTGAGAGCTACGTCATCCACCAACTCAGGTCCCCAATTTCCCCTCCCACCAGCAGTGCGGCAGAAGAGGGCCCGCCCCCCTCCATTCCTTCCCCATACCAGGCCTTGTTACTCTTTCTTCTTTGCTAATCCCATCTCCCTGTAGTTGTGTTTTCCTTCCTCTGATTACCAGAAAGGGATAGCATCTTCCCCTGGGGCTACTGGCCACTTGTACTTTTTTGAAAAATTGCCTCTTCCTTCCCTAGGTTCCTGGGACAGAAGCCTGTCCTTCCCCACCTCCCCTCCTCTCAGCTATTAATGTCTATCATTTCCTCTGAAATCAGGTCCCAGATCTAAAATGAATGAACCATCAGAAAAGGAGACATGAAGTGAGAGTGTGGTTTTTACTTTAAGACTTTTGTTATTTTGTTTCACTCTCCTCCACCTACAGCCTACATTCTTTTTGTGAGGAAAAAAAAAATACTGTAAAGATATTTTCATTTCAGAGGAAAAGAAGAGTGGGTGGGGGTTGGAGAGTGATGTTGGGTGATGACCTCCAAAAGTCCTACATTTTCTCACTTGGTAGAGAGTGTTACAACTCCCTAAAAGCAATCTTAGTGTTTCCTGGGGCCTAGCACTAACAAAACCCTGAATGAGCTAATCAGTATGTATGAGAATATTCAAATATTCTGACTAGGACAGCCTTTAAAATAGGAGAGCTGCAGACATTCACCTGCATCAGTTACCAAGGAGGAGGCATTGAATCCTCAGAAGCCAACAAATAACACAGAAAAGACTGAGTAAAGATCACCACCGCAAAGTCAGTATCTATAAGATAAAGAGGCTCGCACACTGACAAAATAATACAGCCACTCCTCACTTCATGACCTACCTGTTTAAGAACGCCTCAAATTTAAGACCAGGTCTCTTACACAGGAATCCCCTTTCTCAGTTGGGGTGAGTCTCAGGAATTCTGTCTCAGACTTTGTCTTGTTCCTGCAGTCAGTTAGTATTCACTACATAAAGCATTTCCAGTCATGCAAGACTACATATTTATCACTTTGTACTTTACAGTGTACCCATAGCAGTAGTATTCGGAATAAATAAAAATTATTACATCAGATTTATTTGATTGTGTTGTGATGTCACTTTCTGGTGCTTATCTAAGGTATGCTTTTTGATGGATATAATTACATTTTTCTAGTGTGGTGTCATATGACATCTGTTGAAAAATGTATTCCCTATGGAGTCATGACACACCCCAAGACATCTGCCTTTAAGCTCCTAGCTTATCGACCAATTCACTTAATAACCTAGTTGTAGGAACAGAACTCGGTCTTAAGGAACAGAACTCGGTCTTATAATGTTCTTTGCCTGTACACAAAGAACATTATAAAATATACTTGGGTATAAAACAGAACTTGTAGAATACTGTTGGGAAAGCGAGGTGACTTTGGCATCTAGCAATTAGTGGGAAACCACTGACTGGATTGATGAACTCAATAATTCACCCATCATCAATTATTTCACTTTTTTTAAAGTAGAAAAAAAGAATAAAATAATTACATACCGTCACTGTTTATGTAAACCAGGTTTAGTTTGAGTTGCTTGCAACAACCTTAACCAATACACAGTACAAAAACAAATAGCATAATATTAAACACACACACTCACACAAATGATCATTTTCAGAACATGAAATCTTCAGTGGAGTATTCCCTAATAGTTTGAGTCTAAGGCTGTTATCTGAGTGTAGCTTTTAAAATCCACAGAAAATACAGAGTAAATCAAGAGACTGGAAAGTTTAAGAATAGGAAAACTCACATTGGTGTGACTGCTAGTCCATTACTAGGACATGACTGAAATTTAGTAAACAGAAGCCAAATCAACAATATGATTCTGCGCATAGAAAAAGATTATGTGCAGTGAAGAGTCTTATTTAGCATAGGAATATATGAAAAGGAGAGTCAAAGGAAAGTGTTGTAGTTCCCACCCAAGCACTGTCTGGAGGAGAGGGGGTGTTGGCTAGGATGAATGGAACATTTAGCTTTCCTTGGCAGAATCTTCCCCATGCTGTGTAAGAGTACTTCAAACCTCCTCAGCTGCAAGCCATTTTTTTAAGGTGAACAAATGATCTTGCTCTGATTGCATGCTCACCAAGCAACTTTCTGAGGTTATAGCTTCCCAAGAAGTAGCTTGTCTATAGAGAGAGAATGGGCAGGTAGGACTGACAGAAACTTCCAGTACCTCTGACAGTTGTGTTTCTCAGTTATGCAGTTGTCACTCCTCTTGAAGCTTAGCTTTCCTTGTGGCCCACTTACAGGGGGAGAATGCAAAGACTCATGGGTTTGAGCATTGAGATCTAGATTTATATATAAGCTTCTATGAATGGGAATCTTTCCTTGACAGAGGTATGCTCTTAGTATACAGACAAAATCAGGGGTCAGTCATGCAAATCTGAGGACAGATGCAACCTATCTTCTAGGTGATATCTGCTCAATTACAACCTTATGCATCATCGCCATTCCTTTTTTTTTTTCCTCTCTCTCTTTAGTTTACTATAGCGCAATGTGTGCTTAGGAAGGAGGGCAGGGAGAGACAGTGAGAAATCACCCCCCAGGGGAATGGCCATGCACAATCCCTTCTCTTCCATTCTCCTCTCAGGATTTTGGGCATGCATACACAAGTGCCTGGAGTAATTGTCAAGCCACTGGGTCCAGGATTTGAACTGTTCAGTTGGCCATATCGGATCCACCTACCTTAACCTCCATGCCACCTATTAGACTATCAGTATTTCTTAACTGTGCCTTTCGATTGTTCAGTTAATGTGGAAAAAATGCAGCTAAGACATGTTATGGTAGATAGACTCTCAGCACCTCAGTCATATCTGGACAAAGGGTTAAAATCAGAGTTGTTGAAGAACTCTTGTAATCAACAATATCTGAAGCAGTTTATATTTCTCTCTGGAAAAAAGAAAAGAAATACATTTTACATTTTATGTACCCTAACATTTTCCCTCAAAAATGGGGGCATTGTGTCCAAAACAGACCAATCAAAAGCTCTCTTACTAAAATTTTAATCTTGAGCAAAGAGATAAAATACATAACAATCAGTGGACTTAGGACATCCTGAAGAGATCATGTATCAATTTCTCTTACCTAGATGCCTCACCACTGACTCTGGCCTTCAACATCCTCTGCTTGTGTTAATATAATAAGCTTTGGTTTCTGTTGCTTGGAACCAAACAAACCTAAGTAGGACACTATGCAAAAACAAATTACACAATACAAAAAAGTCATATAGCTTTTCAAGATAACAGCCTTCTGTTATTTTTTTTTTCTCACTCTCTACAATTTCATTAATGTTACAATTCACTGATCCTTTTTGTTTTCGGGTACTTTATAAGTCACAAATCACATTCAACTACATACTGATTTAAGTCAAAAGGTTCCTTTTAGCTGTGGTTTCACATAGTCCTCTGCAGGCTCAGGAGCTTTTAACAGGCTTGTCTGAGGACTTGTTTAAGCATTTCCTTTTTTGCTTTTGAAATGGTATGTCAGGCATGTAACACGGATTTAAATAAATATTTGTTGGTGAATGTATAATGGAAAGCAAAGTAGTTATTAAATGCTAGTCCCCAGGTTCCTTGGTAGGACTTGTGGATCAGAGTGACAAATATTTTTTTCTCACTCTTTACAATTTCATTAATGGTACAATTCACTGATCCTTTTTGTTTTCGGGTACTTTATAAGTCACAAATCACATTCAACTACATACTGATTTAAGTCAAAAGGTTCCTTTTAGCTGTGGTTTCACATAGTCCTCTGCAGGCTCAGGAGCTTTTAACAGGCTTGTCTGAGGACTTGTTTAAGCATTTCCTTTTTTGCTTTTGAAATGGTATGTCAGGCATGTAACACGGATTTAAATAAATATTTGTTGGTGAATGTATAATGGAAAGCAAAGTAGTTATTAAATGCTAGTCCCCAGGTTCCTTGGTAGGACTTGTGGATCAGAGTGACAAATAAGTAAGAGAATTCAAAGGGTTATCATGCCTGTGGGGTTTAGGAAGTTTTGGAGAGAGAATGGACTCAAACCAGGAAAGGTCTGACAGAGTGGAAGAAAAATGTTCCAGGGCTATTCATTGGGATAATTGAAGGCTACAGCAAAGAGGGTAAATATTTTCTGTTAGTGAGGAAAAATAGGAGTGAAACTTTTGTCTTTTAAGCCCAGCTAAGTTTTATGAACATGAGTCTGTAATTATAGAACTGTGTTTATGTCACCAAGGCATCTTTATTTATTAAGCTTTACTACTTCTTAGCTTTTTCTAAAGTATATATTCAAAAGAAATGAAAACCATTTATTTCAGTACATGGCAGCCGAAAACCAAATGGCGAAGAGTTGTATCTGCAAGTTGCTAGTAACATTTCATAAGTAGAATTCACTTGTCTAGGAGAGGTAATTAAAGGGTCACAAAAAGAACGGTATAAGGGGAAGATGCCGAAACAAATTAATTGTGCAGAGATTTAAAGAAGAGATATGATATCGGTAAGTGAGTTTAGATTATAAAAGTTTAAGGAAGACCATAACATAGTGACACGTTCTCGATTTTTAAATATTCGCCAGCAAAGCACTATGGGCTCTCTGGCTCACCTCCTAAAAGGGCCTCCTCCCTACAGGGGCCCCTCACTGGGAAGAGGAAAGCCTCCTGCTGGAGTGTCATATTTCAATGTTCTAAGAAAGAGGCTGCCTGGAGGGGCTATATTTAGAGCATGACTTCCCAGCGGGGACAGGTGGATATCTGGGGACTAACTTCTGCTTACTTTGTCCCTGAATTCTGGTATTATTCTGAGGGGCTTGTATGGTGGTGCAGTGAATTTGTAACAGAAGGCAGGAAAGGAAAAGGCCTCTTTCTCCTGGTGACTGCATCCTGTACCCTGTCTTTCCATTTGTGAGGGGAAATGACAGGACATCAGGGATATACCAGCAAGTCACAATCACCTAGAGTCCTCACCACCATCTCCACTGGGAAATGCTGAAACCCCTCCCCCCTGCCGCTAGGGCTACACAGAGTGAATGAATGGAAGATTCCAAAGAGATCTCTCCAGTTTCATAAAGGAATGAAAATTCCTTTGATTAAGGCTTATTTTCACCAACGAGATAAAGGAATTCTCTAACTTTGCGGCGATTTGTTAGCTGCACCATAAAACTGCTGAAGAAATTTTAAGTAAAGCCCACTGAATGAAAAACGGGCTAATCTGTGAAGTTACTAATTTTGTAAGGTTTATCTGAACACATAAGAGTCATCCAAAGTTGGGGTCTCCATAAAGTCATTTGAAGCCAGTGTGAAAGTCATTCCGCAGTCTTCAGTTGTCTGAACTCTGATACTATGAATTCAGCCAGGAAGAAGGAAGGGAAGATGATTCATTTATCAAAAACAGTTGGGGCTGCCAGGTGGCATGGTGGTTAAGAGTGCTGGACTTTCACATTGCCAACCATGGTTCAAGTCCCAGATGTGGTGGCTTGCTTTCTCACTTTCTCTCTCTTTCTGTCCCCCTCTGGTCAAATTAAAATTAATTAACTAATTAATTAATTAATTAATTAAATACAATAACTCTTTGGGGGAAAATGGTCACAGTCAGAATACTGATCTAAGTATAGATTCATTTATTCATTATTTTATAAATCTTATGGAAAGCACACTGGTTATGTTTGTAAGGATATGTTTTTAAATTTTAATATGCTGTTTGAAAGCTGATGTTTCCTTTGCAGTGAGAAGAAAATATTTTCAATATGGTGCAGATTTACTTCACCAAATCAATGAGGCCTCCCTATTAGTAGAGAAATCTAGTTTATGTTATATACATTTTTAAAAATCTGAATTCTTTTTTTTCTCCAAGTGGAAATCTCTTAATTTTCTGATTAGAAAACAGAAAACCCTGAGTCAATAAAAAAAGGAAGGATGAAATAGAACATAAAGGTATCAAAAATATTAATACAAATGTCACTACTACCGGGGCTCCCTTTCCTGCCCCCCCCCCAATTTTGGTGCAAAGATTGAATGTAGAAAAGGGTAGAAACTAAGGGGGTTTTAGAGGGTTTTCAGAGCCAAGGAAAGGATGAGACAATTCCCCAAAAGAAATGGGGGTGAAAGGTACACCCAAGAAAAGATGTTGCCCTTTCCTGTAATTAGAGAAAGTCAGATTTCAAACACCAGAGATACGCGGCCACTTCTGGTCTCCGGTATTGTTATAGCGGAAAAGAGTGACAGGGCCCAGTGTGATGGGGGGAGGTCTGGGGCAGTCTGGCGCCTGCCGCACTGCTTGTGGGAGTGGAAATTGGGGCCAGAGCTCACTGGTGACGTGGCCGTCACGTGATCGAGGGCCGCCTGGAGCAGAAGTCCTGCTAGTCGCCTCTGTCTGGGTACCAGCCCGCTGTTACTCTGCAGGCGTGAGAAGGAAACTAGCTCGGACCTTGCAGGTCGGTAAGAGGGTGAGCATGGCTTGGAAGCAGGTGAGAGTGGGAGAGGACCAGCGGCGTCTCGGATCTAAGTTCAGGCCTTTTGGGGTTGTGTCCTTTTCTCGGCTACTTTCTAAATACCACCCCCCGCCCCCGCACTCCGCGCTCCGTTTAGTAGAGAGAAGTGGCGGGCTTCGGGGGAGGGGGACAGGGAGGGGGAGTGAGAGGAGGGTACAGAGATTCGGAAGAAAGAAAGGTTCCACAATCTGCGCACCCGCGTCCCAGGTACTGCTATGTCCACCAAGCACTTCGTCCCCTTGCTCCCCTGTCTGTTTGCAGGTTTGTAGATCTGTCGGCCTGTAGACCGCGGCGCAAGTCACAGCGAGAGAAGGAGCAAACTGCCTTGGTTGGAACCATTGCGGGTCGGTGAGAAGATGGGATTAGCCCGCGACGTGCGTGAGGGCAGCGGAGGAGGGGACTGAGATCAGTGCCCGGGTCCGAGTCGCCCTCTCCTGGTCCCTTCTTTCTCCACACCCACTCCCATTTCGGTGCAGGAAAAGGGGTGTGGCGGCCTTTGCTGGGGAAATGGCGGACGACAAGGGGGGCAGGGGAAGCCCGCTTTAGGAAAGTCAGGAGGGTGTGAGAAATATTTTCAACTCAAAAGCCTAAAATTGAGGACAGCGGATACGGGGACCGCTGTTGGCAGTGCTGAGCCATGCACTACACTTGAAGTTCTCCATTGCTTGCCTGTCTTGCCATAAGTCCTTCTGACGAACTCTGGCCATCTATGACTGGAGGGCACAATGATAATAGATGGCAAGGGAAGAAGAAGGAATTTATATTACTCTGGTAGAGATTAGTGAGAGAAACTGCCTGTGAATCTTTGGAAGCGGAGGTGTAGTGAAGGAGGAGGCTAACAGGGTTAGATTCTCCCTGTCACTCTCCTGGCTATCATAGCATAGGTTCTGCCTTTTTCTATGTGTCCTGGAAGAGAAAAGGTAGATCAAGAGGGTAGGTAGGAGAGGCAGAAAAGAATAAAGAAATAGATTCCTGATAATCCAACTTTCTCACCAAGAATTTGAACTCCAGACTCCTTGTCTACTGAAGTAAAAACTGAGGCACAGTCTAAAACCTTGATACTGTTTTTTACCCACAGATATCACAAGAGAACTACAGGAGCTTGTGAGAAGCGAAGACTACAGCCCTTCACCATTTCTCACCCTGGCCCTAAGAATCCTCTTCAGTCAGGTGGAACAAGGCCCTCTCTTGTCTTGCCCCACAGCTGGCACAGACTTGAGCATGGGCCGGGCTCGGGAAGTGGGTTGGATGGCAGCAGGACTGATGATTGGGGCTGGTGCCTGCTACTGTGTTTACAAACTGACCATAGGAAGAGAAGACAGTGAGAAGTTGGAGGAGGAGGAAGAGGAATGGGAAGACGACCAACAACTGGATGAGGAGGAGCCTGAAGTTTGGTTTGATTTTACAACAATGACTCGTCCTTGGAGAGAGGATGGGGATTGGACTGAACCTGGGGCCCCAGGTGGCACTGAGAACAGGCCCTCAGGGGGGGGAAAGGCCAATAGAGCACACCCAACAAAGCAGCGGCCATTCCCCTATGAACATAAAAATACTTGGAGTGCTCAAAGCTTTAAAAATAACACTAGTGTACTAGGCCTCTCCAAGTGTCCTTTCATTCAGGGAAAACTGTCGTTTGCCGAGCCCATGGATGCTGATTTTTCATTTAGCCACAATATCAATAGTCCCCTGGCCAGCCTCTCGGTGGTTGGAAACACGATCCCTTCTCCCAAGCCCGCTGTCAGGGAGAAAGCTTTGTGTGCCCAGGATAACGTGAATGAGAGTCTCACGAGTCAGGGCCAGATTGAGATGTACATCAATGAGGTGTGTCGGGAGACCGTGTCACGTTGCTGCAACTCATTTCTGCAGCAGGCCGGATTAAATCTGTTAATAAGCGTGGCAGTTATTAATCACATGCTTGCCAAGTCCGTTTCAGACTTGAAGTTTCCTTTGATGCCAGAGGGGAGTGGAGGTGCTAAGGCTCAGGTCTGGAAACCTCCAATGGGTCTGTGTCGAAAGCCAGTCCTGGCAGGGGAAGTGCTCGGTGCCCAGATGCTCTTCTCATTCATGTCCCTCTTTATCGGAAATGGAGACAGAGAGGTTCTCCTGGAAACCCTTGCCCCTTAAATGCCATCTGGCACACAGAGGGACTGAGTCCACCCAACACCCGTGCAGTTTGCAGCTGTCAAAGAACCTGCAGAGGGTGCTACCGAAGACCCAGCCTCAGCCAATCACCACATCACGGGGGCGACAGTTCCAGTTGCTAAATGGAGGACCACATTCCTCTTGGCCAGGCAGGGGCGCCCCAAGAGCTTTGAGTCACGTTTTGGTTTTGCAGTCTGCGGGCAATGTGCACTGTAAATTGCTATTCCCTTGCAGCCTTCTGGGTGTGCTAAAGGGACCACTTTGCCGCCCGCTGTGGAGAAAGAACATCAAACCACAGCATCGCGAGTGCCGTTGCTGCCCATGGTAGTGTCCCCATCGAAGCCGGGCCGCCGTGCAGAGACCAGACCCACGTCAGAGCTTGGGCTGAAAGCGCATTTGTTGACCTTAGGTTGAATGGTTTTTCCTCTACCCCTTCTTCTACATAAGCTCATGGGTGGTGAAGCTCTTCATGGAAAAAGTACACTCCCCTTTTTGCTATTGTACTGACATAACCTCCTCCACCCAAGTCTGCATCTGTGTATCATCAATAAAGTTGTGTGCTTTGATTGGCAAAAAGAGACATGGTGCTTATCCTTGAGTCGGCAGTCTGCATGAAGAGAAAGACAGAGATCCGCACCGAACGACAGCTAACTGGGGCATCTGCTCCCTGACAAACGTGTGGTTCTCAGCGCTCACAGTAGACAGGAGTGGGGGAGGGGGGGCGCTGAGGTACTCAGGATAAGCTTCAAGAAGGAGCTGGGGACTAGGGGGAGGATGAGGCAATGGGACTGGTGGAATTGGGGTGGAATGTGGAGAGGATTGAGAGACAACACCTGCGAGGCCCGCGGTATGGTACCTGGCGCAGAGAGGTCCCTAGGTAACAGTGTCTTTCCCTGACTGCGGACCTGGAGGAAGGTCAGTCTCTTTGGTGATTGTGCGCACATTCCCTGGAGGTGGTGGCCAGGACGGGAGGTGCTGGCAGTGGGAAGGGACGCTGTGCCAGGCTTCCGTGCACACGTCAGGCACACTGGTGGCAATGAAGGTTGCCACTTGCCCAGAGCCTACCTTGTGTAGTTCAGTTTCTCCTGCAGAACCACCGTGAAGCCTTGTTCCACCCGCCTCCCCTTCCTTGGGTCCCGGCACTACCTCCTGGCAGAGTGAGAAGAGTTGGCTGTTGCTTCCTTCGGGGCATGCCTCCTTTCTCCCTGTCTCCACCCCCTCCCACTACCTCCTGTGCAACCCCAGAAGGAGGCAGTAGAGTCCTTCCCACAAGGGTGGCAGGGCAGATGCTGAGTGTGCTTGGCCTGGCCGTGGCCAGTCTGTCCATCAGGAGACAGCACCATGGCCTCCATCTGAGGTTCTGGCATCCCTGCGAAGAGAGGTAGTGGCCTTGTACCCGAACTGCACCGTGGATCTACCCACCTGGTCCCGCCACACCTTCCTCGGCATCTCTAGGCCCTTCCCAGCAGGCCTTAGCCCCTGCATCACCCAAGCCAGGTGCTGTGCATGTTTGTGGCT